CGGAAGTACGTAAAAGGTGACGTCGCAGCGGAACCGGGTATTTGGGAGGCACGGCCGGCAGAGTCGCCGCCGCCCGTGCGGGCGGCGAGGCACCGTGCGCTGTGCACGCACCTGACGCTGCAGGGCCCGGAGGCTCAGCAGCGTGCCTGAGAAGAAAGCAAGAGTTGAGACGCTTTGGGAATCAAGGAGGAGGAGAAGGAGGAGGACGAGGAGGAGGAGGAGGAGAAGGAGGAGGAGGAGGAGGAGGAGGGAGGAGGAGGAGGGAGGAGGAGGAGGAGGAGGAGGAGGAGGAGGAGGAGGTGGAGAAGGAGGTGGAGGAGGAGGAGGGAGGAACAGGAGGAGGAGCGAGGAGGGGGAGGGGGAGGAGGAGGAGGAGGGAGGAGGAGGAGGAGGAGGAGGAGGAGGAGGAGGAGGAGGAGGAGGAGGAGGAGGGGAGGAGGAGGAGGAGGAGGAGGAGGAGGAGGAGGAGGAGGAGGATGAGGAGGAGAGGAGGCGGAGGAGGAGGAGAAGGGAGGAAGAGGTGTAGGAGGGGGAGGAGGAGGAGGAGGAGGAGGAGGAGGAGGAGGAGGAGGAGGAGGAGGAGGGAGGAGGAGGAGGAGGAGGAGGAGGGTATCGGCGTCGACCACATGTCCCTTGCCCTTCGCTGTGTTCCCTGAGCCCTCGTGCGGTGTCGGGTCCTCGTTTTCCTTGACGCCACGCCGTGCGCCCCCCCCCCCCGCCTGTTCCCCTGCTCTCTCCCTAAATATGTTCTCTCCCTCCCCTCTCCTACTCCCTCTCGTGCTCCTCCTCCCTCCACTTCTCCTCCTCCCTCTACTTCTCCTCCTCCTCCTTCTCCTCTTCCTCCTCCTCTTTTCTTGGGCATGCCGTGGGAGCGAGTGCTTGCATCGTCAGCTCCTCCTCCTCTTCCTCCTCCCTCCTCCTCCTCCTCCTCCTCCTCCTTCTCGTCCTTCTCCTCTGGCTGCTGGTGCTGCCGCAGTCGCCCATGATGCTTCTCCAATTCGCCCGTCCGTTTTGGCACGCCCATCACACGCTTCGTGCAATATTGAGGGGCGTACCCCTCTGGCTCCAGTGGGCGAGCCCGCGTTGGCGCGTGGCTCATTCGCGCACGGCCTTCAAGCATTCCCGTGTTCCACCAGGCGCCAGGTTCTTTTTCGCACACCCGGGCGCAGATGCCTCGTGCGTGGAGGAGGCAGGAGGAGGCCGGAGGAGGAAGAGGAGGAGGAGGAGAAGGAGGAGGAGGAGGAAGGCGCCAGTGGGCGTACCAGGTTCTTTTTAGCACACCGGCGCCGTGGCCCACAAGGAACTCCAACTCTGCGGCGCTAGGGGGCACCCCTGCATTCGCTCAGTTGTGCAAGCGCAGGGGCTTGCTCGCATGGCCAACCCCTCTTTCGGCCCTGGGCGGGGGTTCGTCGCCACGAATTGGCGTAGCTCGAGCAGGTGGTCAGGACAGCGACAGACTTTTGAGCCAAACCTGACTGGGATAAGAAAAGTTGGATACTTGGGGGCGAAAGTGCTAGTGCGACAAAGCCCCAATTGGGATGTCGCAGGCTCGTATTTCTCATGATGCGCCAAGTGCGCGAAGGATGTCCGCGAGCGCATGGGTCCCTGGCAGCTCGCTCCAAGATGGTGGCAAACAGAGTGTGCGATCATGCGGGACCAACAAGCGGATAACAAGTGGGTGGCACTTATTGCAACAGTGTTCACAGAGTTCTTGAACGGGCCACGTGCTTCCGCCAGCAGATTTGTCCGAGCCCAGTTGTTTTGAAAGTCTGCGGAGGAGCTTCCCTTTGACAGGGATGAACAAGTATTGATGATCTTCGCATTCTGAAACAGATTTTGCCGTCGGTCGTTTGGTATCTACTTTGATGATCCTGGGTTTTTGAGCAAGGGGATGTGATTGTGCCCGCGTTGTTCTGAGTATTGTCATGGGGGTGCGTTCGGTGCCCTTGCCCTCAAAGGAGGCGATGCCAAGGTATTATTTGCCAGACGAGATGAAGCTCTTCGGCACGGATCTCACAGATGGTGGAATCGGATGCGCTTTATCGCACATGATGATATGGAAGGACATCATCAGACAGTGTGCAGCAGGAACTGCCAGCTCTGAGTCTGTGTTCCTGGTTGTGGAGGACGATTGCGAATTCGCGGAGGGGTTCAGCGAAGAGATGCTGTTGGATCGGCTATCGCATGTGCCTTCCGATTGGGAGCTCGTATATCTGGGTGGGCAGGACTTGATGCACAAACAGCACTTGTACCCAGCCGGGCAAGGCGTCCGTAGGCTCTACAAGGGCTTCCGGGAAACGACTGCCTACGTCGTGAACGAGGCGGGGGCGAAGGCGTGCTTGGAGGTCTGTGTGCCAATGTATTGGCAGGCGTGCGGTGGGCAACCGTCAAGTCACACCTCTGCGCCCACGTCGAGCGTAACTTCTAGGGGGAAGGAATGGACAATGGTGGTGGCACCATCCTCGCTGACAAATCCAAAGCCCCCTGCGGATGTCCTGGCCAAATGTTGCTGCAGGTTGCAGCGCCGTCTTAGACGCTCTTGAGACAGAAGGTCCGAGGTTGCCAAAGTCATCCAGAAACAAACAAAAAAGGGTTGGACAGTTTGGGCCTCTTGGGACTGCCTCCAAGGCCTCTAAGACGGCCCGAGTGGCGCCCACTGGAGCTCCCGCGACACGGGGATCTGGGCCCCAGAAGGAGCATTTTCAATTGTCCACACAAAGAAATCGAAGGAGTTCGAGGGCACTTCACTCAGTGCCTACCAGACGGTGGCGGACTTCATGTGAGATGATCAAGACAGGGCCTCGCTTTCGAAGAATCGAATACGTTGCATCTCCCCCTCGGCGGATGCTGGCGGATGGCCGACGGAAGCCAGCGTGCAGAACGAGAGCGGCTCCGCTGGCTGAAGCCAGCGGGAGGTCGACGTAAACGGAAGTTGGTGGACGCGATATGCCGCGTCAAGCTTTTTTTTAGGGGGAGGGATTCTGGACCAGGCCATGTGTGCGTGTGTGGAATCACGTGTGAGTACATCCGAGGTGGGAATTTATCCACAACCACCAGGGGGTCAATCTTCGCGGACCTCCACAGGCGGTGGATATGGATAGATTCGAGCCCCTGGGGGCCAACATATATCCATATCCGCCGCCCGCCTGGGCATTAGGACGTCGGTTCCCAGGCGGTGGATATGGATAAATCCCCGCCTCGCAGTATGTGCATCGTGTGTGTGTGTGTGTGTGCGCGTCGCCCCGCAATCTCAAGTGAGTCGCGTTCAGCGGCTTCGCCGGGCCGCTCGCGTTTGCATGTCGCCATCTTCTTCGTGTGCAGAGGCTCCCGTCCTTACGCCCCCGCACTCGTCAGCCTGCGCCCTTGGTGGTAACCCTTGGAACCGTCTATCGAATCTCCCGGGGTTCTCCGTAGCACTCTGAGTAATTAACTTTTCTCCGAGGGGTGAGAATCGCCGAGCAATACCGTGATAACCACGACTGATTAATCTAGTCGATGATTCCGCGGGGGTGGGGAGTAAGACGAGTAAGACAGCCCAAGGGAGGCCTCAAGACGGCCTCTCCCGATCCTCGTTGAACTCTGTCACGCTCCGATTGGAATACGATTGTCATCTCATTGGGTCCATGTTGCAACCCTCTTGGGATCTCATTGGAATCGGATCGGGGTCTTGTTCGAATCCTGTTGGGATCCTGGTGGGATCCCGCGCTGAAGGGTCTGGGGACGGGATACCAGTTCCAGCGACGAGAAGCGATTTGGCTTCACCAGAAAAGGGGAAAGGGGGTTCGATGATGCTTCCCAGGGTTCACTGATCTAGGCGTGTCTCGCGCTAGAGCTCGCTGCATTGGGTCAGCCGGCCCGGAAGTAACAAACAGTTTGTGTGTGTGCGCGTGTGTGTGCGTGTGTGTAAATGTGCGTGATCTTTGGTCCCCACACCGCGTGATCTCGCCCGGCCGCGCGCGCTCTCCAGGTTGGTTGCCTATGCCGTGCCGCTGCGCACGTGGCCGCAGCGCCAAAAAGTGTGTCCGTGTACGATTGGTGTGCTTCTTCTCAATGGCGCCTGCGTTAGTGCTGCGCCGGCCCATTTCGCGTCGCACCTTCTTCAAGTGGGCTGCGAGGGAGCAAGTCTCCTACAAATATCACTCCTCCTGCAATATGTATCTGTTGTCACCGTTTGCTCAGGCATCTGCATGCCCCCCCCAGCACTTTCCGCGTGCGTTCGCGGTGCTGCGTTTTTCTGCATGCGTCGGCCTTCATCCAGACCCCATCTGCAACACCAGGTACTAATTTAGCGAAGCGCGCCCCACCTCATTACTTGCTGCGGTCCTGTCGCCTGGCCGCTGGGGAAATAAGTGGGCGTTGCGTGTGTATGTGTGTGTTGTGCGACAGAGAGGGAGACAGAGAATGCGTGTGTGGGACTCTGTTTGTAGCACGGCCGAACCGAAGTGTAAGATCGAGGTCGGCTCGGGAAGGGTACCCTAATGTTCTTCGTGCTTGTCGGATGCTTTTGTGCATCCTGGAGAGGGTACCCTCGGATGTTCTGTGTGTTCTGGGCTGTACAGCGTGTGTGGCTCCCTACGTGTGTAAGCCAGTTGGGAGGTTGAGTCACGAGCTCGTGTCTGACCGAAGGCGCGACCGTGCCTCTGCCCAACGAGGACGGCGTGAACGCCCCCGCGCCTGTGGGAGGAGCCCTGTGTGTGCGTGTGGATCCCGGTGTGTGTGTGTGTGTGCGTGCGGAGACCTATGCTCGTGGAGCCTGAAGCACGTGGACCCCAATACTCGTCGGCCTTGTTCTCGGCGACGCACCTGGCCGGCTTGGCGGTTGCCCCCGCGGCGCAGCTCGCGGCCCGCGTCGAGCGGCTGGCAGGCCAGGGCGAGATATCTTGGAGAGCTCGCTGCGCGCAATGCAGCGGCAACGTGCTGGACCCATGGCTGCGCGACGTGGGCTTCCCGCGCGATGTCTTCGCGGCGCGCGCGGGGCGCCGCGGTCCACGCGCTAATCTGTCGCCGCTTGCTTCGTCACGCACCGATCAGTCGTTGGCGTCGCGCGCCGATGCGTCGGCTGCTGTGCCGCGTTGCTACGAGTTGTCCTTCTGGGCGCGCGCCGCTCTGTCGCCCTTCGTTCTGCCGTGTTTCACTTGCCCTTGCTTCGGGGGTGGACAGAACCCCCAATAGTGACACGTCGATTAGTGAATTGTCCGTTTTCGGTTTTCGAGAGGGCGCCGTGGCCGTTATTTTCCAGGCTTGCGCCCGCCAGGTTTGGGCCCGAAGTCGTTTTCACTAAACCACGTTTTACTAAAGGGAGGTCTGTCCATCCCCGATTGCTTCCGCCGCTCCCAGCCTTAGGCCCCGTGGCGTTCTGTTTTCTGTTGGAGGTGGCGCGGCGTTCCTGCCGCCGCTCGGCGGCGCCCCCCCCCCCCCCCGGCGGCGGCTGCTCGTCGGCCCCCCCGTCCTCCTCTTGGGTCGCGGGGGTTCGCTCGGTCGCCGTCGTCGTCGGTCGCGGGGCTTGGCCGCGTCGCGGGGTCCCCCTCCGTCATCTTTTCGGGCCCCCCATCTGCTCCTGCCTCGCTTGCTCTTCCCCCCTGTTCCTCGGGTCGTCCCCGCCACGGGGGTTGAGCCTTTTTGCCGCCTTGAGCTCTCGCTCTCTCTGTCTCTCTCTCTCTCTCTCTCTCTCTCTCTCTTTTTTTCCTCTCCCTCCCTCTTTCTCTCTCTCTCTCTCTCTCTCCCTCTCTCTCTCTTCTTCCCGGCGCCGCGTCTCCAGGCCCCCCGAGCTGCTTGCGTTCGATCTGGGTCTCTGGCTCCGTGCGGGTGCGTTCCCTGTGGCGGCCTTGCATCTGCGACTACCAAGGTAGGTTTGTCCTGCACGCGATGCTTTCTTCAGATTCGGCGCAGACTCGTCATCTGGGGTTTCTGCGAGCCTCGCGGCGCCATCCGCGTCTTGATTGAGACGTCCTTGGTCGATTTGTTGGCGACCTAGACGGCGGCCCGCGCGGGGCACCTCGCGTCTCCACTTTCGTTGCTCGAGCGGTACCCTATCGATCTTTTATGATCGGCGCCTTTACTGCAGCCTGTTTTCGGCCAGCTTGGGCGCGTCACCGTCGTTGGCCCGCTTTGGTGGCGCATGGTGCTCCGTCACCACCAATTTGGCAGTTTACCAATTTCGGTTATGCATCAGGCGTCGCCGGTTCGTAGGTGTGCACCCTACCCAGCATATTCGCCAGATCGTAGCTTCTTCAGTGTTACTTGTCCTTCGGCTGGGCTGGCAGCTGTACAGGTTTGGATCTTTTGTCTTCACTGTTGGACATCCTCTATTCAGTGGCCAATTCGCACGTCACTGCTGCTGGTGCGTCAACTTATTGGAGTCGATTTGCTCCGCGTTTTGTTGGCCGTTGCGCATTGGCTTTACTTCGCTTTCTGCTGTTTTCACCACCAATCTGCACTGCCGTGTCTGGGTTTGTTGTTCATCATGACGCGTTCGATTAGATTCGTCGCAATTGGCACCTACATCTGCCGACCGCGCCTGAAGTCCTTCTGCGCCGCCGACTTCAAAGTGTCGGCGCATGTGTGTAATTGTGTGTGCGTGCGTGTGTGTGCGTGTGTGTGTGTGTGAGTGTCTGTGTGTGCGTGCGTGCGTGCGTGTGTGTGTGTGTGCCCTTTCCGGCCCTCACGGGGGGCGCAAGCCAAGGCGTTGAGCCTCTTGTTTCTCCTTCGTTCCGCCCCTCCTCCACATTCCGCTCACTTTTTTCGCGCTTCGTCCGCGGCATGAACCCGTTCGCTCTCCGAGCGCACGCCAGCCATCTCCCTCGTCGCAGTTTTCGCCGTCGCTTGTAGCTGTGTGCGTTCCTTCCCTCGGTCGTCGAGTCGGTCTCGTCTCTCGTCCTCATTTCTTCCCTGCCGTTCACGCCCGGATGGCATTTGGCGCGGCCTTGTTCTGAGGCCGGCGCTCGCGGGGTCCCGTTCGCTGTTCTTGAGTTGTTTCGCCTCGTCGCTGCGTGCGGGGCCTCCATCCCCAACAAGAACGTATATGTGTGTGCGCGCGTGCAAACTTATGTGTGTTTGCGTGTGTGTTGTGTGTGTTGCGCTCACCACCCAGTGTTGCACTGTCCGTGTGCACGTTTTGCACACTGTGCCTTCGATGGCGTTCGATTGTAATTCGCATTTCGATATGTTGCTCGTGCCTCAGGATCTTCTGCGCCGCCGTTTTGAAAAGTATTTGCTGTTCAACCCTGTTTGTGTGGAGCGCTACGTTTGGGACGCCAGTTTCATTGCAGCCTTGGCGCGCCGCGGGGGTCACCGAGTACAGAGCGATGTCCGGGCTGCCGCAGCAGCTTATACCCCTTTTTACACCAGGGGCAGTATTCTGAAGCGGCCAACCCCTGCTTGGGGCGGCGATTTCCGAGGCGGCCTGGTAATTACGCGTCCTGCATGTGGAGCCTCAGGTGTGTGGATCCCCATGCGTGTGGAGCACTGTGACGGCGACACTATGTGTGGAACCAAATGGACGTAAAACGCCACAGGTACCCCTGTGTGTGTGTGTGGCACTCCAGCGTGTTGTGCTTGAATATGTGTGTGTGTGTGTCTGTGCGTCTGTGTGTGTGTGTCTGTGTGTGAAGCCATGTGTGTGCGGAACCTTTGATGTGAGGAGCCCTATATTCATGGCGCCCCATGTATGTGTGGGACCTTGTAAATTGTCAGCCCTATGTGTGTAGGGGCTCGAGTGTGTGGAACCTTTTGTGGGCAGCCGTATGAGTGTAGAACCCAATGTGTGCAGAACCAAATGCGTGTGGAACTTTTTACGCCAATGGCAACCACCAGGAGTAGGTCCTGAGAGCACAAGTACACATCCCCCATGTGCAAACACCCCTTGGGAAGCATCGAAGCCCTGGCCGTGGATGGATTTTCCAGGCCCCCGTGGGCACAAGCGACTGCCACCCCCAGCGACCGAAGCGCCCAGCCGCAGGTTGAGTACTGGCGGTTTCTCTGAACGCGGTTCGAACGGCTGGAGGTGGAAAACCAATTGGGCCGAGGTCATCCCCAGCTATGCATCAGCTTTTCCGTGGAGAGTTCCTTGGCCACCAGGTGGGAGCTCACCTTGCGCCCATTTGATTATCCGTACTAGATCTGCGTTTGTGCCCAGATGCGGAGGTCGATGCTCAGATCGATGGCGACGGTCAAGCCGAGCATGCACACTGGTGCTGCTCACTCAGTCTGCACCCCGCAGCGTTTCCATCCCGGCCTTTTCAAGTGCCTCCTCGACCCTGAACGCGATACGTCAGCAGCCCGCCCTCCCAGAAATCGTGATTGGCGGCGTGTGCCAAGAGCCACCCGTGCGAAGCCTCTTCACAGCTTCTCGCAGGTCTTCTTCCCACCCCCCTGCCAATGTCGCCCTCGTCCAGCGGCCAATGAGGTAGACACCCACCTCAACGACGAGTCCACTCGCGAAGGGCTCCGAGCACCCAGGAGGGGGGAGCAGGAGTTCACGATGCGGCCCCGCGGCTATTGCCCACGCCTCAGTGTCCGCTTGCTGTCCATAACGGGGGCTTGTTGCGGCCACATGTCTCCATCCTTCCCGATCATTGTGTAAGGCGCTTGGGGGAGGCACTCGTCGCCAGGGCTGGACGCAGCTCGAGATTGTGATTAGCATTGGGGCTGATTTAAGCATGTTACTGATGGCAGTGCGCATCGAGCTTCTGTCTCTGAGGCACGGGGGGGTAAACGAGCCATGGGAGTCAGTCGAGGTGGTGCGTCGGTCCAAAGTTGTTTATAGAAGTCGTAAGTCGGCCGCAAGTGCGCAGTAGGTCGGACTCAGGCTGATGCCTTGATCCTTTGGTGGCCTTGCAGTGCCAACAGTTTGCATGTTTGTTGCCTCTCATGGCTTGTCGGTCACGGCCCGCCCATGTTGCACCACACTTGCAGCATGGCTGGCAGTGCGTCCACCCCCCGAAGGGTACACACCCATGGTGGCACATGGTGGTGGCAGGGTATAAGGATGATTGTAGTATTGCGTCCGCCTCCCAATGAGTGCTCAGCCAGGGCATCACGTTTTTGATGAACTCCTTGTTGAACTGCGGGGTGCAGATACCATCTGCCCTGCTCTGGCCCATACCTTTGGGACCGCAAGTCGGCAGGGTGGGTCTTGAGTCTTGGTCGAGGTCCGTCCACGCAGGGTGGGTTAGACCAGGGCATGGTGGCATAGAGGCTCTGGACGGGGTGCGTGGTACCATGCCTGGGCATGGTAGGTTTGGGCAGGACAGGTGGGACTTAAACGCATGGAAGGTTTCGGCAGGACGGGTGACCATTGCTATCGCCGGTCGTGATCGAGGCGATCACAACGAATGCCATCTCGATTCAGACCGCACCATGATTAAGAGATCGTCTTCCACTGGAGGCTTCTTAGACTTGAGTTGATCATGAGCTGTCCACTGAGCGCCTGGGTGCCGCCAACAGGTGCCCTGCAACGCAGGCGAGATGTTTTCGGACACCTTGAAATACTGTGGTTCCGCTCACGCGCCCCCGCGCCCTCCGTTGCAGAATGCAGTCGTCTAGGAGGCACACGCAGAGTCCGCGATCGGACCGCGCGGGTGACCAGGGCGCGCGAGCGGGCGCAGCGGCCAGCCGCACAGCCGGCCACGGAGCAGGAGGAGGAGGAGGAGGAGGAGGAGGAGGAGGGGGAGGAGGAGGGGGAGGAGGAGGAGGGAGGAGGAGGAGGAGGAGGAGGAGGAGGAGGAGGAGGAGGAGGAGGAGGAGGAGACGGAGGAGGAGGAGGAAGGAGGAGGAAGAGGAGGAGGGGAGGAGGCGGAGAAGGGAGGAGGGAGGAGGAGACGGAGGAGGAGGAGACGGAGGGAGGAGGGGGAGAGGAGTGAGGAGGAGGAGGTGGTGGAGGAGGAGGAGGAGGAGGAGGGAGGAGGAGGGCCTCCCAGGCCTGCACCCGCCCGTGGTGGCGCAGAACAGGGCGTCCTTCCCCACGGACGTCCAGAAGGTCGAGCACGACGCCTGACCCTGGCCGACAGGATAGATCGATTGTAGGGTTAGGTTGAAGTCGGGCCTGTCCCTCTACAGGAGGAATATTCGAAAGTAGTTAAAACATAGTCTGGGGACTATTTTTTACATATTTTTAAACATTCGGTGAGTATTGTCTGAGTTTTTTATTTTCGCCCAAAATCCGCCTGTAGGCGGACAGGCCCGACCTAAGGTTAGGTGCGTGAAACAAACACACAGACACAGTGACTCGTCGATTTCCCAAGAAAGTATAGGAAAATATGGGAAGTGGGGGAGGAAGGCAGGAGCCCAGAAAATATACGAACATAGGGGGAAATCCTGTTATTTGTGTCTACTCGTGTGTGTGTGTGTGTGTGTGTGTGTGTGTGTGTGTGTGTGTGTGTGTGTGTGTGTGTGTGTGTGTGTGTGTGTGTGCGTGTCCCAAGGCCCCTTCAGGATAGAGCGATTGTAGGGCTAGGTCGGGCGTGTCCCCCTACAGGCGGATTTTGGACGACAAATTAAAAACATACCCTGCAAAAGTGCCAAGCAACAAAAACTATAACATGATCCACAACTCGTCCCCAGACCATGTTCTTGCTATTTTTTAATATTCCCCCTGTAGAGGGATGGGCCCGACTCAATTGTAGGGCGTTCTGTTTCTCTTCGAACGACCGTAGGGGGAACGAAGGATGACGTACACAGAACAACTCGGCGGTCCGCGCGGATTTCTCGGATCGGCCCTGGACCCCCCCCCCCCTTCCCTGGCGCGCGGAGCGCGCCAGGGGCGGCGCTGGAGGCGCCGCCAGGGGGCCCCAGCGCCGATCCGAGAAATCCGCGCGGACCTCCGAGTTGTTGTGTTTCTGACAATCTTCGGGAAGCATGTTTTTTATGTATTCCTTCTTACGTTCATGTTTTGTTGTTTTATGCTTACTATGCTTTTGTGTTTCATGCGTATGCTTGCGTCTGTAGGTTACGTTTATGCTCATGTCATGCTGCGTTCCCCTGGCTGTCTCCTCGAGCGACCAGCCTGCCGAGGCTGCCTGCCCTCACGACGTCGCGCCCGCCGCGGACGGGACCGCGGGCCGCCCGCTGCACGTGGGCGCGTCGGCGGCTGCGCGTGCGCATTGGGCATCGACCGCTGCACGAGGTCACCACTAGCCACGTGTTGGCTCCTTGGGGGGGCACTGGTTAAGATGACTCCACGAGCGCCTCGAAGAGCCCAACATGACCTCCAAGATGGCTCAAGAAATCCCAAGATGTCTCATACTGGCTTCCTCTGTGTGTTGTCCACTTCCATGATCGAGGCAATCCCACCAGCCCTCCTGCGCGCGCCTGCGGCGCTGTGGTGCTCGTCGTCGCCTGCCGCGGTCACTCCTAGAGCTCCAGCGCATAGAAAGAAGAGCAGAAGAAAAAACAACGAAGAAACAAGACGGAGGCTGTTCGTATCCTTCGGCCTCCAGGGGCCCTCGCTGGTCCCCTGGACCGCGAAAAGTCGAGCCGGGATGAAAGACCGGTCCGGGCGAATGGGTCGAGACTTCCGGGGGGCCCGCATTGAAAAATTCACGACATCGGATCTCTGGACTATTCTCGTCATCATCATCATCATCATCATCATCACCATCATCATCACCATTACTATCATCATCATCATCATCATCATCATCATCATCATCATCATCATCATCATCATCATCATCATCATCATCATCATCGAGATCCACTCTTGGGAGATAATGTCCGCTAGTCTATGGAAGTGGTTCCGGGCGCTCTCGCCTCGACACCGGCCAGGGGTCGACCTAGGTGGTGTTTTGGCGATTTCGTAGGCCGATTTCGTTTCGATTTCGTTTTGCAGCAAAGGCGGATTGAAGACACAACGAGGGAACACGAAATTATCGCCAAGACGAGAATCACTGTTTAGGTCGATCCCTGATATTGGCTACAGTTTCTCTAAAAGCGGGACTCCCGCTCGAGCGCTGGCTTGGTTCCCAGAGACGCCCTCACAACTAGGAATGGCGCGCTCGCCCGAGACATCCTCGCAGTGTATTCGAACTGGTGAAGGTTCAACTACGACAACAACGTTCTCTGCTCGACACGTCGTCACAATTTACTCAGAGACGCCCTTTCCACAGACGTCTTCGCGTTCAGCTGTGCCGCTCTCGCCTGAGGCTTCCTCCCAGTTTACTCAGGTTGGTAAGGGTCCGGCTGCAACAGCAACGGCTCCCGTTTTGCATATTGCTAAGGCCTTGCGGTCGGTGCCGCCGACCTGAAGACGACGACGAATTCGAGGAGGAAGAGGGGGGGGATTAAGGTGGAAGGGAGCAGGAGAAGGCGAAGGAGATGTTCCCCATGTGGGCCGAGGGAGTCGTAGCAGAGACAGACAGGGAGCCTTTTGGCCAGCGCCTGCGGCCCTTCCCGCCACCGTGCTGGGGTTGTGGTTGAAAGGCCTCTTGGATGTTTTCGGGCCTGCCTCTGTTGGGCCTCTTGGGGGTCTCTTGGGGGCCTCTTCGGGCCCCTTGAGGGGCTCTTGGGGCCTTCCGGGGGCCTCTTGGGGCGGGAAGCTCGAAATGTCGGTTCGTGGTCCTCTTCTGGGGCCCTCTTGGTGCATTCTTGGGCTGTCTTGAGGCTCTTTTGGGCCCTCTTGGGCTGTCTCGGGGCCTTCCTGGGGGCCTCTTGGACACTCTTGCACCTCTTGGGGCCTCTTCGGGCACTCTTGGCGCGTTTTGGCGCTTTTTTGGGCTCGGGGACGCCCAGGGGCGGATGCGTATCTGACCTCCCCCCCGGGACCCCCCCTCCCTGGCGGGGGAGGGGTCAAAGGGAAGGGGCCTCCCTTCGACTTAAGTACGACGTTGCTACGGTTTTCTCCCGCCGGCAGGCTTGAGGGAGAGGGGGCAGGGAAGGGGCACGACGGAGAAGCAGGGAAGGAGGACAACGGATGCGTCGACCGAGCGCAGGCCGGCAGGGGGTCCATACGCCGACAGGGTCGGCGGATTTCTCCTCCTCCTCCTCCTCTCCTCCTCCTCCTCCTCCTCCTCCTCCTCCTCCTCCTCCTCCTCCTCCTCCTCCTCCTCCTCCTCCTCCTCCTCCTCCTCCTCCTCCTCCCCACAGCTGGCTTTGAATAACGACCTGGCCAGAGCTGTCCTCACACTCTGGCATGGCGCTCTCGCTCGAGTCCTCCCCGCAATGTGCTCAAGAGGCTCACGCCATGCCGCGACCCCCTGGAAGAGGAGATGCGCGGCTCCCGAGCTCGTGGCCGTGTGCTGCTTGCCGGTGCCCGTCGTTCTGCTGCTTGTGTGGGGTTGGTGCTGATTCCTCCTCCGCGTCCTCCTCCTCCTCCTCCTCCTCCTCCTCCTCCTACTCTCCTCTACTCCTCCTCCTCCTCCTCCTCCTCCTCCTACTCTACTTCCTCCTCCTCCTCCTCCTCCTCCTCCTCCGCCTCCTCCTCCTCCTTCCCGTCCTCCTCCTCCTGCTGCTCCTCCTCCTGCTCCTCCTGCTGCTCCTCCGCGATTGCTGCAGGGTTTCTTGGAGGCCTCTTGGAGGCCTCGGTGGCGGGCCCCTTCGGGAGCAGTCTCGCGATCCGCCGATCACCCAGCAAGCGGCCCTCCGACTGCCCGCCCACGCCTCGCGGACGACCAACCCGCGCCCCGCCTGCCTTGCTCCGATCGTTGGGATCGTTTGTCCGACCCCCATCCCCACCCCCATCCCCTTCGAGACCCCCACCAACTGACCCTCCCAGTTGGGGATACACCCCTCGAAGCCCGATGGGAACGGCCTACATCCCCATCCAGGGGGGCAGCTCGGCCAGCGGGGCCCAGGCCGCGCCGCTGGGGATGGGGATCGGTGAAGCGATGCTCAGATCAGTGATCTTGGAGAGCACCACCGTGTGCCCCCGCCTGCGAGGCCCGCCGCAGGCCCGCCCTGCGATGCAGCAGCGCCGCCCGGACAGGAAACCGAGCCTCGTGGCGAGCTGTTGGTCGGCGGCGAAATCCGGACCCTGCCCCCTCGCCGATCAACCAGTCGGGAAGCTCGATGGGCGGCGGGGGTAGGGTTCGGGATTCGTCGAACGCGGGGCGAAATCCGAACCCTCCCTGCCCCGAGACGGCCCAAGTGGGCTCCAAGACGGCCCAAGAGAGCCCCAAGACGGCCCAAGAGAGGCCCCTGAGGGCCCCAAAAGGTTCCCAAGAGAGCCCCAAGAGGGCCACAGGAGGTCCCCAAGAGGGCACCCACATGACCCCCAGAAGAGCCCCAAGACGGCCCAAGCCCGCCAAGACGGCCCAAGAGGGTCCCGTAATGTCGCAAAAGAGCCCCAAGACGGCCCAAAAGAGCCACAACAGGACCTCCAGTAAGGCCTGGAAAAAGCAATATGTATTGATTTGCGCAAGGTTGGTGTCTAGATTTTTGCATGTCGCACCGAAGCCTTAACACTAATAGGGCTTCAAGACGCTGAGCCAGCGACCTCACAGGAAGTACACGCGCTTTCCATCCCAGTGCCAGGCAGGTGACGTAAAAAGCATGGTACGAGCGATGTACGTTGAGTTGGGGCGAAGCCCTCTAGGGAGGGCGAGGAGCGCGTTGATGGTTGTACTGGCCGCCCGGGGGCCCTTTCCCTTCTTATTTTTTCGACTGAAGCGGCTCCCGGGCGGCTCCCATGGCCTGTTTCCTTGTATTTGTTCGAATGAAGCGGCTTAAGGGCCCCACGACGGCCCAAGAGGGCACCAAAACGGCCCAAAGACGGCCCCAAGGATATCGGAGGTTGGGGGGTGAGATCGAAGTGGAACGGAGAGCCCCCCTACCGGGAAATCGATTTCGGTTTCGTGTTCGTGCGTGCCGAGCGGGCGAGGCGAAGCTGCGTGGGCGGGCGAGAGAAAGTCTCCTGTGGCTGAGGCGCGGCCGGAGCAAAAGAACCTTGACCGGGCGGCTGGTGCCCCGCGGTGTCCCGCCGGTGTCCCGCTGGAGTCCCGTGTGGCTGAGGCGCGGCCGGGGCAAAAGAACCTTGACCGCGCGGCCGGTGCCGCGCGGTGTCCCGCCGGCGTCCCGCTGGTGTCCCTTCGGTGTCCCGTCGGTGTCCCGATGATGACGTGGATGATGATTATGATGATGATGATGATGATGATGATGATGATGATGATGATGGTGATGGTGATGGTGATGGTGATGGTGATGATGATGATGATGGTAATGATGATGATGATGATGATGATGATGGTGGTGGTGATGATGATGATGATGGCGATGATGATGATGATGATGATGATGATGATGATGATGATGATGATGCCGATGATGATGATGATGTTGGTGTCGTTGATGATGATTATGATGATGATGATGATGATGATGATGATGACTGTGCGATGCTGATGGTGATGATGGCCATCATGGTGATGATGATTGTGATGATGATGGCGACGTTGATGATGATGATGATGCTGATGATGATGATGATGATGATGATGATGTTAATGGTGATGACGATGATGATGATGATGATGATGATGATGATGATGATGATGATGATGACGACGTCGATAGTGGTATCGATTGTGAGATCGACGGTGGTCTCCACAGTGAGATCGATCGAGTGATATCGAAAGGGAGATCGTTAGGGGAACCGATAGTGAGATCGATAGTGAGATCGATTGTGAGATCGTTGGTGAGATCGATAGTGAGACCGGCCGAGAGAGATCGATGATGAGATCGATGGTGAGATCGATGGTGAGATTGATCGAGTGAGTTCGATTGAATGAGACCGATAGAGAGATCGATACTGAGATCGATAGTGCAAGAGGCGGCGCGGGCTGCGTCAAGCTTTGCCAGCGCTTCAGTCTTCTGTGGCCAAATGGCGCCGTTAGCTGCCGTTGCGCAGGTTGGGCAGGTTCCCAGGGGAAGGGTGACGTAAACAACTCGACACCAACGCCCCCAGGATCGAGCGGCAACGCAACTATCTCCACTGGCATTGTCTCAACAACATTCACCACTGTTGCCCATTGCTGGGCCCCCCCCCAACCTCCTTATCACCCGCAGGGTGGTCGTATAGGTAATTCCCAACCATCCTGTGGTGTTGGGTCCTCGTTTTGAAGAGACAGCGCCCCGCGTTCACTCCTTCCTTCCTTCCTTCCTCCCGCTGCCCCCTCCCTCGTCACCGCACCCATTTCGGCACACCCCTCACACGTTTCGTGGCCCCATAGGGAGCTTCACCGAAGGCCCCAGTGGCTGCGTCCGCACGGCGGCGCCGCACCCATTTCGGCACACCCCTCACACGCTTCGTGGCCCCATAGGGAGCCCGGCTGCGTTGGCATGGCGGCGCCGCACCCATTTCGGCACACCCTTCACACGCTTCGTGGCCCCATAGGGAGCTCCACCGACGGCCCCAGTGGCTGCGTTGGCATGGTGACGCCGCACCCATTTCGGCACACCCCTCACACGTTTCGTGGCCCCATAGGGAGCTCCACCGAAGGCCCCAGTGGCTGCGTCCGCATGGCGGCGCCGCACCCATTTCGGCACACCCCTCACACGTTTCGTGGCCCCATAGGGAGCTCCACCGAAGGCCCCAGTGGCTGCGTTCGCATGGCGGCGCCGCGCCCATTTCGGCACACCCCTCACACGTTTCGTGGCCCCATAGGGAGCTCCACCGAAGGCCCCAGTGGCTGCGTTGGCATGGCGGCGCCGCACCCATTTCGGCACACCCCTCACACGTTTCGTGGCCCCATAGGGAGCTCCACCGAAGGCCCCAAGCTCCAGCTCACACGTTTCGTGGCCCCTCCACCCCCAGTGGCTGCGTTGGCATGGCGGCGCCGCACCCATTTCGGCACACCCCTCACACGTTTCGTGGCCCCATAGGGAGCTCCACCGAAGGCCCCAGTGGCTGCGTTCGCATGGCGGCGCCGCACCCATGTCGGCACACCCCTCACACGTTTCGTGGCCCAAGGTCCCAATGGCTGCGTTGGCATGGCGGCGCCGCACCCATTTCAGCACACCCCTCACACGCTTCGTGGACCCATAGGGAGCTCCACCGAAGGCCCCAGTGGCTGCGTTGGCATGGCGGCGCCGCACCCATTGCGGCACACCCCTCACACGTTTCGTGGCCCCATAGGGAGCTCCACCGAAGGCCCCAGTGGCTGCGTCCGCATGGCGGCGCCGCACCCATTTCGGCACACCCCTCACACGTTCTCGTGGCCCCATAGGGAGCTCCACCGAAGGCCCCAGTGGCTGCGTTCGCATGGCGGCGCCGCACCCATTTCGGCACACCCCTCACACGTTTCGTGGCCCCATAGGGAGCTCCACCGAAGGCACCAGTGGCTGCGTTCGCATGGCGGCGCCGCACCCATTTCGGCACACCCCTCACACGCTTCGTGGCCCCATAGGGAGCTCCACCGAAGGCCCCAGTGGCTGCGTCCGCGTGGCGGCGCCGCGCCCATTTCGGCACACCCCTCACACGTTTCGTGGCTCCATAGGGGGCTCCACCGAAGCTCCCAGTGGCTGCGTTGGCATGGCGGCGCCGCACCGAAGAAGATGTTCACTGTTGTGGTACTCGCAGCTGCATATGGTTGGGTCCTTCGCCAGGCTAATTTTTATACACCCAAGGGATAACACGTGATACCCCCCCCCGTTCCTTTCCCCCTCTTAACGGTAACGCCCCGGCCCGGTCCAGCGCGCGATCCCGGGAAGCTTGGGGCCTGTGGTGCACGCAGGCACTACTAGTGTTGCGGTGCGCGGGCGTGCACTATGGTGTACGCAGGCACTGCAGTGTTCACGGGCGTTGTAGCGCACACGTCTGCTGTTGCAGCAGCAGCTGTGGTGTACACAGGCATCGTTGGTGTACGCTAGCATTGTGGTGTACACATCACACGCCCTGTGGTGTACACAACCGTTGTGATGTACACAATCGCTGTAGTGCGCAAAGTCGTTATGATGTAAGTGTGCGTTGTGGGCTAGAATGTACCCACGCATTTTTTTCCTTTTTCGTCCTGCTCCTCCCTCTTCATTTCCGTCCTCCTCGTCGTCGCCCTCTCTGCGCATACATGACGCGGGCATTGATGATGATGATGAGGAGGAAGAGGAGGAGGACGAGGAGGAGGAGGAGGAAAGGGAGGAGGAGGAAAGGGAGGAGGAGGAGGAATACGAATAACAATGAAACAGCTGTGCGCAGGCTGTGCGGGGTGCATCACGCAGATCCGTTGGCGGTCTCGTGTACGGATTCCTGCAACGAGCTTCTCTTAGATGATGGCGTGCATCTTGGTAGTGCCCTTGGAAAAAGTTCGCGGACCCAGAGCTGTCGATTCCATCGCGGGGTTCTTTTTGCTTCCCCTGCTCCTGCTGATGCTGCTGTTTCTCCTGCTTCTCCTGCGTGTATTCCCTCGGCTGACGCTGGCCCTCGCTCCCCAAGCCGCGTGGTGTTCACGGGCGCCGTGGTGCGCGCAGTTGCCATGCCGTGCGCAGTCGCTATGGCGCACACAGGCGTTGTGGGCCCAACATATCCGAGCGTTCCCTGGGCCACAGAACCCAGCACTCACAATCAATTCATATATTAAATTTAGTACGTTCGGGCCCCGACGATTTTCCAGAGTTTGGCACAAGCTTTGTGGCGTACGCAGGCGCGGTGGTGCACAGGGGGCGTTGGAACAGCAGCTGCGGTGCAATCTGGCGCCGTGGTGTGCGCGAACAATATGATGTACAAAGGTGTTGTGGTGCACACGGTTGTTATGGTGCATGCAGTCCCCGTGGTGCACACACACACACATACCGCTTCTGAGCCCGTCCTGGTTCACAAAAGGCATTGTGGCGTACCTGTCCGCGTTGTGTGCACATGCGCTGTGGGCGTGGACGGCGGCGACGACGACGACGACGACGACGACGAGGGGGCGGCGCGCCTCGGAGGGCGCGCGCCGCGGCCCCCGTTGCCGTTACCCCCCCCCGCCGGGGTAACACGTGTTGCCCCCCAGGGATTTTAAATCATGTTTCAAGAAAACCGCACATGGCTAATAAACGGCCCACGAGCGCCTCCAAAAAGCCTGGGGAGGCCAAGCGCATTGATTCCCACACGTTGGTTTTACAGGTTTTTCAGGTTTTCATTTTGTTCGACCCAACTGGGCCCAACATGGCGCAGGAGGCCCCAGAGGCGCCCAAAAGGGGCTGACAACGGTCCAAGGGGGGCCCCAAACTGCCTAAGAGGACCCGACAACATCCCAAAGTGGCCCCGAGACAGCCCCAAGAGAGCCCCAAGAAGGCCCGAAGAGGCTCCCAAGAGACGTCAAGGGGGCCCGAAGAGGCGCTGTGGGGACTGGGTTGTTTTGGTGTGGGGATTGGGCTCACAACGGTTCAAGAATCCTACCACGGCCCTCAAGAGGGCCCCCGAAAGCGCTTCAGGAGGCTAAACACACATTTGTTTTAAGGGCCGTTTAAGGTTTGTACGGTTCTCGCCCTTTCGGGCCCGGAAAGGCCCCAGACGGCCCAAGAGGTCCCAAAGATCGCCCCGAAAAGGCCCAAGAGGCCCCAAAACGGCACCAAAACGGTCCAAGAGGACCCCCCCAGACGGCCCAGGAGGGCCTCAAGACGGCCCAGGAGGGCCCCAAGATGGCACCACGAGAGCACCAAGATGGCCCCAAGGGGCCCCCAAGAGGGCCCGAAGAGGCGGTATGGAGACTGGGTTGCTTGGGTGTGGAGACTGGGCTGGCCCCAAGACGGCCCAAGCGTCCCAAGACGGTCCCAAAGGGCCCCCAAAAGACTCCAAAGGAGCCCCAGAGACGCCAAGGACCACCATGGTCCCCCACGGAGAACAGTGACGTGACAAGCTCTGAACACCAAAGCTCCCTTGAGCGCGGTGGCGCTAACAGCTCTGAGCAGCAAGGCTCCCAAGAGCGAACGGCAACGTTAAAGTCTCTGAACACCAGGGCTCCCATCAGAGAGCGGTGACGCAACAGACTCTTAAGGCCAAGGCTCCCGAGAGCGAAAGGTGCCATGAGCTATTTCGGGCAAGTGCCTGCAGC